GTTGCCCTTTTTATTCCTGGATAAGAAGATGCATGAGATAAGAACTCATCTCTCTAATCTGTAGTATCAGGCACTGTGTTGGGTGCTTTCTTTGCGTTACTGCCTTTGAACTCCAAGGCAGACTGGGATCTGCATGTTGCCGCTGAAGGTTCTAAAGCTCTAAAGAGGTAATATGTGTAACTTGCTTGGGCCACTTAGTGAGATAGGTGGTGGAGTTGAGAGTAGGTTCACAGCGGTGACCTTCTGCCAAGGTCTCTTGGTGCTTCCAAAGCTCATGCCCTTCAGCACAGAAAATGCAGTGTTCATGGCACCTTTTCTGCTTTTCTGGGCCCTTGGTGGCATTCAATGGTCACGTTTTTGAAAGTAAAATATGTTCAGCAGTGTGGCATCACATTCAGACCCATCTTGGTGGTGACTCTTTGGACCCTTCACATGCAAGTAACTGGAAATTGAGTGTGTGATGTATGTGTATACATACATGCAATTGACTCTTGAACAACATGGGGATTAGGCGTGCCAACCCTTCACACCATTAAAAATCTGAATATAACTTTTGGCTCTCCCAAAACTTACCTACTGATAGTCTACTATTGATGGGCAGCTTTATTGATAACATAGTCAATTAATACATATTTTATATGTTATATGAATTATATACTATATTCTTATAATAAAGTAAGAAATGTTAAGAAAATCCTAAGAGCTGGGCAAGGTGCTCAGCTCTTTGGGAGGCTGAGGCAGGTGGTCACTTGAGCCCAGGAGTTCAAGACCAGTCTGGGAAAAATGTCGAGACACCATCTCTACAAAAATATAAAAAATTAGCTGGGCATGGCAGGGCATCCCTGTAATCTCAGCTACTCAGCAGGCTGAGGTGGGAGGATCCCTTGACCTAGGAGGTTGAGGCTGCAGTGAGCCAAGGTGGCACCACTGCACTTCTGGATGACAGAGTGAGACCCCATCTCAAAAAAATAAAAATCGTAAGGGAGAGAAATATCATTCCTATTCATTAAGTGGAAGTAGATCATCATAAAGGTCTTCATCCTCATCGTCTTCACATTGGGTGGACTGAGGGGGAGGAAGGGGTGGTTCGTCTGCTTTTGTTCAGGTATGGCAGAGTGGAGATGGACAAGGTAGAAGGCGAGGCAGGAGAGACAGGCACACTTGGTGTAACTTTTATTGTAAAAGACCCCTGTATAAGTGGACCCATGCAGTTCAATCTGTGCTGTTAAAGGGTCAGCTCTGCGTGTGTGTGTGTGTATGTGTGCGTGTGTATACCCACCTATATGTATATATATGTCAGTTCCCTTGAATCCACTCCAGGGCATAAAACACAGTAGGAACTTGATGAATATTTATTGACGTGAAATGAGAAATAAACTGCATGAAATATGACAATGGTCCATGCACTGTCTCATCTCTTCTACTTTGTTTTATCACCATTGGACATATATTTACGTGTTATTTGTTTTACATTTACTTGTTTATTTGCTTACTGGGTGTCTCCTCACATTTGGGCTTGAACTCCTTGGGGGAAAGATCTTTAGATCACTTGTTTACTACTGTCAACCTACAGTAAGTGCTCCGTAAATATTTAGAAGAAGAGTAAATGGTCAGATTCAAGTTTTCTACCATTATTTCTCTTTTCAAAATCTCCTCATATTGTTTTCTGTACTTGTTGACTCTTCTCTCTCAGGCATAGTTAAAATCTATGTAGGACTGTAAATAAAGGAAGTCCAAAGCTCAGTTATTCCAGTGTAGCAAATATTGAAGTGCCCTGTGTTAATGTGCATGGAGCCATCTGCAAGGCAGAGCCAGCTACCAACTCTGGTGTACAGGAAGTTGTTCAGCCCTGGGGACAGTGTGGACAGTCACCACTTCATGCTTTTTACCACAGCCGTCACTTGCCCAGCACAAATCTCTTCTGCAGAAACCCCAGGTTAAAAAAAAAAAAAAAATCCAGGGAGCAACTATCCTTTCATCCACTAAAACCACACCCTGCTGGGCTGCTTAGCCTGAGAAGTAAAGGTATTTCAATATAATTAATCTCCTTTGCAATCTTTTATAAACCATTCTTGGAAGGGGTCCATAGATTTCATCAGATAGACAAAGGGATGTGGAAAGGTCATAGACCCCTGAAAAGCCCTGACTAATAAATAGACTGGGTGGAATATTTTCACTGGTGCCTAGGCAAGGGCAAAGGACTGAAAAATGGTGTTTCTTTACTCTTTGAAGTTTAAAAAAATCGATGTGTTTGTTTCATGTTTGCCTTTGTCTTTTTCACTCCTTGTGTGTGGTGGGTACAGTCAGAACCTCACCCCAGAGCCCCGCACCTTCGTGGCAGAAGTGCTTCTGATTGCCTGCAATTTAGGAGGGCAGGCGAAGTCTACTCCTTGGGCAGGGTTACCTTCACTTCTACGGAGCCGCCGGAATGAGCACAGGACCCTGTGCGGAATGCAGAGTGTAGTTGAAAGGCATCTGCCAAAATGTTTTCTGAGGACGGGTGGAGATCGAAGCACACCCAGCCCTGACTGGATTACCACAGCCCCAGAAGCACTTTATCCTCCTCTGCTGCTACTTGGGGTGGGAAGGGAGTCATGGGGTGTGTGGGGGGCAGTGGGTGCTTGGTGACTTAGCGGGGGCTGGGGAGGCAGGTCTCAGACATACATCTCTTAGCTTTGGGGTTGCCGCTGGGAATATTAAACTGCTTGCCCCAGAGATAACAGTGAGGGATTTTAAGTATGGGTCTGTTGATAACTTACCTTTCATTTGGATTATGTTGTATAAAATCTTTGTCAAAACAGCCTTTTAGCATACACAGCTTGGCGGAGGCAGATTGTGGATCAGTAGCCAATTGTATTCAGAGAAGAAGCTGAAGCTTAAAAAAGGGATACGCTTTCCTAATGGCTGTGTGTTGGAGGTAGGGAAGTGGAGGGAAAAAATGATCATGCTGGATCTTTAAGAAGGGGTCCCTTAATAGCTAGAAATAGCGAAATAGGAGAAAGGAATGGAAGAGAGCATGAATGAAATAGAATAACCAGAAATGTATTACAATGAACAGAAATGGTGTTTACTCAATTACATACTCATGTCTAATGTGAAAATAGCTGAAAAAATTAAAAGCCTTTCCTTGGAACAAATTTATTTTCTTGGACCACACAGAATAAAGCAAACCATAATTTGCTGTGATGAATTACATCCAAGGTGAAAAATGGAAATACAGCGGGTAGTCTGCCTGCAGCGTACCTAGAGTCCCTATAGATAGAGAAAGTGTCTTTCTCTCAAGAAACCAGAGATGGATGTCTTGGTTCTGAGGGAAACCAGATGACCCAGGAAGAGGAGGAGAAGGGCAAGGAAGGGTCCCAAGGATTCAGAGGTGTGTGTGAGTCTGGAGAGGTCAAAGGCTTTCAAGGTTGAGCCATTTGCTCTGTAGGCTGAGGGAGAAAGAGTGCTAGGGGGGCAGGGATTCAAGAATGTGGTCCAAAGTGAGGGAGAGGTAGATTTGCGTGGCATTGGCATTTTTGATGGATTGTAGTGATGAGAGATGAAGGCTAGAAAATGAAAGGGAGCAAGAGGAGCAATGGAAACATTCTCTATTACCCAGAGACTCTCCCAGTAGCGTGAAAAGGGGCGGGTGATGTGGTGTGCCGATTTCTGGGGTGATCTTCATGAAAACAGGTCAGGGAAACTGACAAGGAAGCAAGCATAGAGCTGGTTGGAATAGGAATGCCCGTGTCTTCCTATTTACAAGAGATGTATCAATCCATGTGCACACAAGTAAGTGGCAAAACTTATTGGGGAAGCGTCAAGGTGGAAATACGTAGCTATTATTTTCGTGGCCTCTAGCTACAAGAATTAACAGGTGAAGATAGTCTAGAGACCCAAACTGGGGAAAAAATGACATTTTAACATTTTGTCAAGTAGGCAATTTAAAAATAAACTTGGAGTCAATATATACCATTAATGCTAGAGGTTGTGTTATAACAATGCAAAATGCCTTCTTTTTGATAGTGGTTAAAAGGCATGTCATAGGGGGTGAGGAACCATATATAGGAGAGGCGTATGTGATTGTGACAGCAGCCCTACAAAGCTATTGAAAACATACCATGACTCTGCCCTCCAGAATTAACACCATAACCTATGTCAGGGACTCACTATTATCCTCATATCAGCTCTTGGATCCTGTCCAGTCCCATTAGCGATTCCCATGTTGATTGCTCTGTTACTCGTGAATGTTAATTGCTTCTAAATCTCTTTGGATGTTCAGATGCTCGGGGAAAAAAATCTGACTGGTGAAGGTGTGAGTTTTATTAATGGGCAAGTAAACAGGAAATCTGTTTACAGACCCAAGTGGAATGTCTGTGACTCAAGATGCCGTAAACAGCTGATGTGGTACCTTTCTTTGCATGTCTGTCATATGTTGGTGGTGTGAGAGCGGGGATGGGGGAACAGGGTTTCAGTGATCACTGTGGTGTTTGCCCAGAATTGGTACACTTGCAGATGTACTGAGACACTCACATTCTTCCCTCTGGTATTCCTGCTTTGCTTAGTATGAAATGATGACCTTGCTACCTTTGAGAGAAGCTTATACTTAGTAAGTGCTATTAAATCAGAAGATGTAAAAATATGAGTATAATTTGGCCTATCACCTAGTTTCTGAACTAGAAGGAACATCAGAAATAAGCTTCTTAAGCTTTATTTTACTCTTGAGAAACAAAGGCAGTGGGAGAGGAGAAGGTAAGGGCTCACAGCAGAGCTGGCTAAGAAGCCAGGTCACCCACCTTGCACTCTGGCACTTAAGATAAGGGAAAATGATAAAAACAGGTGTTTATTATATTTTCCAGAAGCATTTCATTGAGTGTTTGTGGAGTTTTAATTTTTTCCTTTGGGTGGAAAAAATCTATGGTGGTTCAGTATTGAAATTCATTTATTAGTAATTATAGGAGAGTTAAGAGATAGAAGAAAGGAAGATCACCCAGTTTAATGTTGTGAATCATGGATTCAATCAATATTCGTGGAGTGCTTTCACACTAGAAGTTAGCAGTAAAAAAAAAAATTCCCTATATATGCTATTGCTCCCAGGTTACAAACCTGTAGGCTAGGATGTAACTGCACTAAATACTCTAGGCAATTGTAACACAATGGTAAGTATTTGTATCTAAGCATAGAAAGTTACAGTATAAATATAGTATCACTGTATTATAACGTTACAGGATCACCTCATATATATGGTCAGTTGTTGGCTGAAACGTCATTCTGTGGCACCCATTCTGTGGCACGTGAATGTGTAGATGGTCAGGGAGATATCACTGAGCAGGTGTTTAAGCAGAGATCTGATGAAAGGGAAGGAGTAAACTGTAGAAATACCGCAACAAGATTGGCCCAAGCAAAGGAACAGCTGGAAGGACAAAGTTCCTGAGGTGGGAATGTGCTTGGATATTTGAGGATGAGTAAAGGATTCAGTGCTATTGCAGAGGTGAGTAAGGAGAAGACAGTGAGAGATTGTGACCCTCACATCATGGGCTTTGGGAAAACTCTGGGGCAGACATTTTAAGGAGACCCATCTTTTAGTGCTTCTGTAATCCCAAATAGTATGCCTCATAAACAGAACCAAAACTCATCCTTTTTTGGGAATATTTTCTGAAGGTGCCATCCTTCTGGGATTGGTGTCTGTGACTTACCAGGAATGTTTACAAACTATCAGATCTTTCTGTAAAGTGTGTGATTAGCATGGTTGTCACAGTAATAGATTTATTGAACCACAGGTTTATAAGTTTCTTGATGGCAGAACCAATGTAATACACATTTTTGTGTCCTCCAAGAAGCCACATACAGTTCTAAACTTATACATAGTAAGAACTCAATAAATACTGATTATTTTTTCAATGCATGAATAAATGGCCTGAAACTGGTATAAAGGATGGGATGTCCTAGAAAGGACTGTTAAAAATATACCCTTCTAAAAATGTTGTTAACGAAATTACTTCTGAAGTATTCTGACTTCCTTGCAATATTTTTAAAAGACAAGTCCATATGCTGAAATGCGAACATAAGTATATAACAAACTGAACAGTAGTAACATTATTTTCAGGCCAGATTTTAGTAGGATGGTTGCATTTTGTCAATCCAATTTTTTCTTCCATGTTTTAAAATGGATGTGGGAATTTTTCCAATCTTACCTCTAGTATTAAAAGAATTTTGGTTTCTAGATTCATGAAAACAAGGGTTTACATTTGTCACTGTCTTATCCTAAAATGTGTTTAGTATGTTGAGATTGTGGAGGAAATGACGTAGGAAATATCAGTCCCCTTGGGAAAGATGGGTGGCCAAGACGCATTGTGATGGGGAAGGCCAAAATGGCAATTCTTATTCTCCCATTACTGAATTCTCACCATAATGGACCAATAATTAATAACCTATTGCCTTTCAGTATCCCCATCTGCAAAGTGGGGGTAACACAAACTTACCCTCTGCCTTTCAGGTTTTTTGCGAAAATCAGTGAACTAATATTGGTAAAATTGGAGCCCCATGGATGAAGGGTACTTTGTAAGTATAATGCATTATTGTCATGTTATTTTCTGTTATTCCAAAGTGCAAATACCAGATGTCTGCTCTTGCCGTATCAGGAAATCCATAACACAAAGTTTCACACCCAGATATTGATAATCTGATTTCGTTTGAGGCATTTAATGTTTCTGAACTCTAACGTTTTGACAATATGTTGGGTGTAGAAAAGCCACCTTCCCCTGCCACCTTCTGTAAATATAAATTCAAGCAATTCCTACTAGATAATTTGGACAAAATATGTCTGTATATTATCATACGTAAAAATGTTGATATGAACCATGGATATAAATGTAAGGTGTCTTTATTTCTCTTCTCTCAACTCTCTCTTCCTTTCTTTTTAAATTGTATTTAACTTGTGTTTTGAGAAGTCAGTTTGTGTCTCAAAGAAGTGGTTGATTTTAGGGAGAGACAATGTTTCCATGAGACAAACAATATTTTGTTAAGGATGAAAGTTGATTAGACAGTCTGCTAATTATTCTGTTTCCAGACTTGGAGCAGGGGGAGGAGGCCAACCAGAGTGGTGAGCTAAGTGTGATCACCCGTCCTTAAGCAGCTTACAGTCCAGGTGACCTGGGAATTGCCTCCTACCCAAGGAATGGCAAAGGCTACAGAAGGGCATGAGGAGACTGTGTGATCCCAAAGCACCTGCTTCAGTAGATTTTCTCCATTGAATGGTGCATCCTTTTATTTTGCCAGGCCAACCAATGCCCTGGAATTGTATGTGCAACCATCGATTGGCCAGCTGTATGCCCAGTGCTTAACCCATGGTTTGATCTGTTTTTTTCTTTTACTTGGTGGCTGTCACCCTTTGAAATCTGTAATAGAGAAGTTTAAGATTAGGACTGCTTATTTAAGCCTATTGTAGTGAGTAACCCTTGGATTCATGCGGCTGTAGGATCTAAGTCTGCAAGGGTCTTGTGTGTCTCATCTAGCCCCATTTGTTGGCCAGTTCTAAGGGTTCCAGCTGACTGAGCCTGAGAACCTCTAGAGGCAGAAAGTCTACAACCTAAAAAGGTGACACTGACAGTTACAGAATTCCTTCTCAAGTTAAACATAAGTCCAAGCTCTGTATATCTCTGCCCTTGGATTCTACTTTTACTGTTCATCCCTACAATGAACAAGTCTTCCTCCTACAAAACGATATCATTTCAAATATTTAGTGACACCTATCGGGTCTCCCCCTACAGTGGTCTCTTTGTCAGCTTCAGTTCCTTCAACAGCTAAAGCTCACTGCCATGATTCCCAAAACTCTTTACTCCTCTGGAAAAGTTCTTATCTGTCTATATGTTTCTTAACAAGCAGCAATGAGAATCTGTCTTCTCCAGGCCCCATTCTGCCTCTGAGTCCAGAGATCTAATCAAAGTTTTGGAAGACAATGACCTCTGAAGAAATCGCCTGGAAGTACATGCACCCGTGGATTAACGTTTGAGTATCAAGACAGCAAAGTCCACAGCCCTCTGTGAGGTGCAGATGATTGACAGGAAGGAAGTTGTTTTGGTGAATAATACAATCTGCTTGCCTCTTGTAGACACAGCAGTAGCCTACTAATTTGTTAGAAGTGAATTAAGGTTGTTTACCCATGTTTTAAAGTAACTGTCAGAGTGAAAAAAAAGTTCCTACTAAATGAGACCACTCACCTACTTCGGAGTTGCTGTTTATTTTAAGCTGAGTGCATAAATAATATATTGAGATACGAAGGGTGATTTCAAGCATTAGAACACAAAGTCTCCTGTTTACTGTCATTGGACTGAAGAGAATTTAAACAGCTCTGAAACTTTTTGTCTGCGAATGCGAGGCATGAAATTAACTTTCATTTCATAGTTAGCAGAAATCATGACGGCAGACTTGTTGACATGTCTCCTGCCGATCTGGATCTTTTTTGATATGCAAGACAAACCTTGGCAGCAGAGTGCTTTCCATGTCTCCTTTGAAACAAGACCCTCTCTCTCCCCCACAAAATAAGTAGGGAACTGTCTGGGTCACTGAGTCAGTTTGTTCTGGATATAAAGAGGAAAAGTGGAAATATGAGTCTAGGTTCTGGGAGTTCCAGTCCTGACTGCTGGCAACCCTCTCTGAAACTCACTTTCTTCATCTGTAAAATGGAAATAATAGCATCTATTTCCACTACTTCACAGGAAGACGGTGAGATTCCAATGAGTTAATTGTGGGGAAATGGATTTGAAAGGCATCAGGTATCACACGTGAGAAGGACAAGACAAGATAAAAACAGTTCATGCTATTAAGGCTGTATTCTCAAGGATTTACATGTATTAACTCATTCACCAAACAACCCTGTGGGACAGGTACTCTTGTTATCCCAATTTTATCACTACAAAAACAGAAGCACAGGGCAGTGGGGTGACTTGCTCCATCATCTCATAGCTGAATGTTTGCAAAACCCATATCCAAACACCAGGCAGTTGGGGTCCAGGGTTTGTTTTCCTATCTCTTACTTATTTGGGAGAAGAAGCCAGGTTTGTCATATATGATTATGCCTCCTGATCATGCACCGGTAAATGGAGCATCATTCCTAAAAGCCTGGACGAAATTTACATTGAGAAAATACAGGTATGGCTTCTCATCAGCAAGGAGGGCTCCCATTGGGTAGGTATGTAGCAGACTGTATGGATTAATTATGTTTTATGTGTGAAGAGCCTGGTGATCTTAGATGAAAAGCCGTAAGTAAAAAGACCTATTACTCGTAATGCTTTTGGAAACAAGAAATTTGATTCACTTTTTGTCCCCTTAAACTTGAAAATGTGATAGCCTATTTCAGAATATAGGGAGAGTATTAGAGAATGAATAGAAAATGTATGGAATGTTTAATTTTACATGATTACATTTCATATTTGCCAAAGTAACTGAGGCAAATAGAAATGCATAATAGTATCACAGCATACCTATTTGAGGTGTTTTGATGGAGTACTCAGGTTTTACAGTCTGATACATGAACCCTTTGGGATAAATCCTTATTAAGCAAATGAAAAAGAATGTATTTGTGTTTGCATCATTGACAATACGTAATTTGTACAACTGCTCTTTAAATGTATATTTACACTATATTTATTTGAATTTCAAAAGAGGAAAGAGTCTTAAGTGATTAATGGGAACAAAAATGATGTGAATTTGCAGACATTTTCCCCTGAAATATGCTCAGTCTTTACAGGGATCATACTTAAATATTGGAGTGGCAAGAGTGAGGGTTCTGACTTGCTTTGGATTTCTGAATGAATCATTCCAAAAATAGGATCATTTCCATAATCCCTGAAAAATGGACAGATTTATGAGAAGTAATCAGCTGAGGGAAAGAATACATTCTGCTCTTCCAAATTGTAAAAATCTCAGCAATTGCTGCTGTGTTCCAGCACTTGTTAATACAATAAGATAATTGCATAATTAAATACGCCATGGAATTTCAATAATTGGAAACTTGGTGTTCTCATCACAATATGCAACTTGCTGATGTTGAGAAGCATCAGCAGTGTTTCCTGGAGGCCAAGATTCTTCTTTCATGTCATGCCCTCTGCAGCCTTCTGCAGCTCCTGTTGTGGTTCTGAGACACTTCCCTTTCAGGTTATTTTTAGTCAGTTGTATCTAGACAAGGTGAAATTAAGCAGGATGTCCCCCAAAGTCTGACTTGCCTGCCCAGGCCATGGAAGTTGAGGATCACTTTGCTAAAAATGTCCCTGGTGCTATCTAGATTGTTCTAGTAATGGGTGAAAGGCAACCTGACGAAGAGAGCTTTTTGGAACTGGAAAGTGCCTCTCTGGGTTAGTAAATGTGACATCGCTTTGTGGAGCCTCTGAAAAGTCAGGATCCAGAGCTGAGCTCCTTGGATTCAAACCTGCTGTGGCCTCTTTCTTTCTGTGTTTCTTGAAAAGGTACCCAATATATCATATATTTTCTTACCTGTAAAAGGAGAATCTTGGCACCTGTATCTTCATGTTGGTAAAAGTCTTCATTGAGTTAATATGTGGAAGGAACTTAGAAGATATCAGGCAGTTTGTATCCATCCAGTAAATGTTAGCTATGTTATCAGGCAATCAAGGGAAAAGTTTCATGTTCATATAATCTTGACAAGTCTTTGAATAAGAACAAATAAGTAGACTTACGGTTTTGCTCATTCAAGAAATATTTATTAAATACATGATGATGATGATGATGGTGATAAAAATAATATTACTAAATCAGTGTTTGGCAGATAGTAAGATATTTTTTCAGGAACCGGTCCATCATTGGCATCCCCAGTATCTAACACACCCGTGAACACATACAGGATAGTTACTTAACACGGAGTGGATTCTATAGATGTTTGGAGAATAAATGAGCGAATGATTGCATGGAAGAAATTAGCTTTAACCTTCTTCTTTTTAGGAGTTAGAAGAGTTTGCTGTGGTCTGTTGGAGAACATAGATGCATTTGCTTTTGTTCAACAACAGGGCTAGCGCTAGGCAAGTGGGGTGTGTAAGGTGACAGATTGAAAGAGGCACTCACTCTCAGGGTCGCACAAGTGCTTTCTTAAATTTTGTGTCCTAGAGGCCCCACATTTCTCACCATGGCCCAGGCCCTGTTGAGTGTGTTAATCTTACATTTATGACTATGCTTGATTTCTACCTGTGTTTGAAATTCTACCCCCCCGCCAATTTTATTTAGAAAAATTTCAAAGCTACAGAAAAGTTGAAAGAATAATACAAGCAGCACTCTGCATACCTTTTACTTATGATCATCAATAGCTAATACCTTGCCACATTTATGATATTTCTTTCTGTATATATGAATTTGAACTTTGTCCTGATAAACTATAGTAATCATGTTGTAACCTCGATACAATATTCTTATTCCTTTGCCTCTAGCGCACATGATGTTAAATAGGCTTCCTAAATTCTGAGTCTCAAAATTATGAATTTTGGAAGAAAAAGGACAAAAAGAGCACTAAAAGAACTTTGCTGAAATTTGTTTTTCAGGTTTCAAAAACTGCT